AAGCGGAGCTAGCTGATGGCACGATCTCAAAGTGGCGTTTAAATAATTCCGCAATCTCTTTAGGATCGTGCACACTCGCTATTGAAACGGGAACACCCGGTTTTGAGCTAAGCTTGTTTGTAGCTTTTCAAAAATTTTTGAAATCTCGGCCCTTGTGATATTGAGCAATAATATCCATTTTGATTTGGTCTGCATGTTTTTGGCACCCAATTTTGAAAGCAAAACCGATCCTTCCCATTAATTCAACTGCTATTTAAAAAATATAAAAATATTATAATGACAAAACATGCGTCTACAAAATGAAATATAAAGGGCTTCTGGAAAAAATGTGCTGTTTTCAACTGTCTGCCATACACAAGAACCTCATTATATTTCTAAATCTCCCCTAACAATAAAGTAATTAGAGACACAAAAGCGAGCAATATTCACTTAAAACCAAATTATGTACAACGTTATTTATTTATCAATCCGGAAACAGGACTTACCACACTTGGAACAGATTTTTTTCACACAATAATCTTTCGAACTTTTGTAAGTAAAATGTTTCTGTTCATGGATGAATAAGTTTCCTTTTTCTTCGCTGTTGAAAATTTGCGTTCAATATTGAATGGGTTTTTTTCCTTAACATTAAAGAACAGCATGTATAAAGTATACGCTGTACATTTTTGGGTACTTTATATAAATTTGACAATGTGTGATTTATAGCCGTGGCAGTCTAATGGTTTGTCCTACCGCCTCTCAATCAAGAGACGTGGGTTCGATTCCGGATTCGCACTTCGTGAGTTTTTCGGAATTTAACTTGAAATTTACCATGAGCTTTTTGATGAAGGAACACATCGTGATGGTTCTCGGAATACGTGTAAAGATCCCAACCCGCATTAAGCCAGCGTGGCGGACTACGGCTTAAAACCCTCGCCTGACAGGAGATCCGTGGCCAGCAGTGAGACTCATAAATGGGTTGATGTTAATGTTGAGTGTGTGATTGATAACAAATGGTCGGAAAAAGGTGTTCCACATATACAGATACATGTATAGATATAGCGACAAGTAATAATTAATTACTTTTTTCGAATTCTGGATTTCCGAAAATGGTTTTGCTGCCTTGTTGCCGTTCCGTCAATGTCCGGGGCGCGATGCGGTATCCAAAGCTAGGGAGGGGCGGAGAGTGACTATTCTCGTTGCTTTGTTTTTTCTGCTTTAGTAGAAGCCAGTTAACTACTGCATTTTTACATGGCACCATTAAATTACTTAAAAATCCAACGTCGACTTCATAGGTCAGTAGTTTGATTTTTTTCGGAAATCCGGAATTCGATAAATAATAAATTAACATTCGGTGGCTTTAACAACTCTATCTCTGTACATGTATCTATATATGTTGAACACCTTTTTCCGGCCACTGTTAACAGTAACACTCGCTATCAGTCATAAAACATATATAATTTGTTTTCAACATAACATTTTACTTAAACAAACTAACAATCATGATATTTTATAACAAACTACAACAATTCACATCCTCGGTGTAATATTAGAAATTAGAGAAACGAGAACTCATGTCTGGAGCAGTGTCGCCGACCAGTCCGACGAAGACGGTTTCAAAAAGGTGGAAAAGAAAAAGAGGTCCACTAGTCATAACCTTAGTGGCACCGTCCCGCTCCCGACTGGCCATAATCATCCATTGTGTTGTACTGACGACGTTTTTATAGATGTCACAGCTTCATAACTCCAGAATGTCTGCGGATATTGTGAGTATAAGTGTGTCGAACGGTTGGGGTCCCGCCACAATGTGAATTTTAATTCATTTGTGGTGAGAATACCAACTAAACATCTGTCGACCTTCATGAAGGAGGAATTTTGGTCCAAGGGTATCATGTACCGATGTTTTCGAGGCCAGTTACCGCACACCCACGTCGCGTCACACGTCGCAGTCCATACGTGTAAATAAATAGTGTTTTCATACATTATTATGTATTTTAGTCAATAAAGTATGTATTTACGGGTTTTTATTAACTGAGTATAATCAAATAAATAAGGCCACGTCTGCAAAATAATACGTTTCCAGTACAGATACAGTTGTAAAAATTGGAGTCCGGGAGTCTACATTTATGAATTCTACTCAAAGCGACTTCTACATTACAAAGTCTCGAATACGACAAGCAGGGTTTAATTTTACTGAACAAATATTTTTTTAATTTTTTTTTATTAAATTGATATTTAATTATTTTTTTATGCGAAATTACACCACTTTTGTTATAATTATTAATACAAATATGAAGAAGATGTCTTCTAGCATACCGTGCCAGACGCTATACCAACTAAGCCACGGAACGAACCAGCGGACATCACGAATTTTTCTATGTGCTTGCGTCGTATCTTTGTACCTGGTTTTTCAACTACTTTTTAGTCGTAGCGCCATATATAAGAATTCGGATCGAAGGAATTTTTTCTGAGCATTTGATCTTTGTATTAATAATTATAAGACATATTCTTTTTTCATTTTCATTTTGAAAAACCCAAAATATTAATACTAATCAAGTATTATACTACCCACGGAAGAAAAAAAAATGGCGTTGAGCCTCGATTACTATTGAAACCCCTGTCGCCAAAACGCACATAAACAAATGATAAACACCTTGACGATGATTGATCATAGTTTCTAATCTGAAAAGAAGTAACAAATTCTGGACTGTTAATATAATTTAAACTTTACCCGGTCGCTATATCGTTGAAAGTTCAATACCTTTATTGCAATTTACGACGTTTTGATTTTATATTGAAAATTTGATGAACATGCTGCCATCTTGTGGCCAGTAGCTGAACTACTTCGAACGTTTAACATCTGAATCAATTTGATAAAGAGAAAATTGAAAATTTATTAAAATAAGATTGACCAATGATATAAAGTACTACTACGGGTAATATTTTTGGTGCGGCTATCATTTTTTAAATCCAAAACAACACAATAAGGAAATTTACTGCGATTTTGACAATCACACAACCGTACCATATAAATAGGGACACGGAAAAAGTATCGATACATTTTGGTATCGAGTACTTTTCCCGATATCGATACTTTTGTACCTACTCGATACGTTTGAGGTATTAGACTTTTTGACATGTATCGTTTCGAATAATTCCTACTTAGGACACCTCATATCATAACGCAAGCCACCTAGCGATTTTTTAATGGCAATTTCTATCACAAAACACTTGACTGTATAGTGTATGCCACCATTGGCCTCTTTAAAAGAAGTTTGTCCCTTCTATAGAACGTTTGTAATCAAAAGCAGGCAATACAGTATCAAAAACGAGAAACAGACCGTGACCAAATAGATTTTTGTTTTGAAGTGATTGTACAGAGGAGGTGCGGGAAATTGGAAATTTAAGTAACACAAATTATATGAAATGACGATTGACTGAATTGATCAATTGATTGTATTAATCAAATTATTTTATTATTTGTTTCAATTAAAAAATCATGAGTCAATAAAAAAAGACAAAGACTTAATTCATGCGTTTTATTCTGCCTTTAAGTAGGAAAAATCCTTTTATGAGTACGATACTTTTTGTGCGATACTACTCTTGAGTACAGTATAGATATTTTTGATTCGATGCTGTGTCCCTATATACAAAGCGAAACAGGTGGACTGAGCTCAATTGGGTCTTGGTGTGATATGGTATGGTATAACGGGCTGTTGCCCGCAACTCGACGTCCAAGCGCCTATTTTGCGTGTAGTGGGTGCAGGGTCCTACTCGTGCCACCCAAGCTCCTCCAAAAATCTCAACACTCTTCTGGGTTGTTCGAATACTTCCGGGAGCGACCTTGGCACTCCAAGATATTTTGCCCTGCATAGAGGGCTGTCCGTGATACCTAGACTGAAAAGGTGTTTCTTGTATGGACCATGACCCGTTAGAGCGGCAGTTAGAATGCGCAGCACTTTCCTTTTGAGGTTAAGAAATTTACGAGGTAGACTGACGTTAAACATGGGGAGTGCTTCCCTAGCCTGTCTACAAGCCGTATGGGTTGTCCAGGTGTTATTATGAATAGTTTTTGTACCTTTGTGTATAGTTGCTCTTGACCATTGATAGGGGAGGGACACTATAGGTTCTGGTCCTATGGCGTCCATCTCCGATCCTCTTCTGGTGAGTTCATCTGCTGCGTCATTGCCACGTGAGCCGCTGTGTCCTTTGATCCACTGTAGTGTTACGTGGTTGACCGTATATATCTCCGTGAGTGCTTGGTGGCATTCATGGATAAGTCCTGAGTTGATGTCATAGCCGCCCAGTGCTTGAAGTACTGACATGCTGTCGGAGAGTGTACGAATTGAGTGGTTCTGTACTCTTCTACATTCATACATTCAGGTTGGAATACTGTGTTATGGCTGCCAAGTGGTGTTCAAATCTTGATATTGAGGTCTTCTGAGAATACCCCAGTACCTGTTCCTGCACTGGACCCGTCAGTGAAAATACGAACCTCTTTGGGATTTAGTCCTTCATTGGGATCTTCAAACAACTGTATTTTAGTTTTTGTTGTTGAAAATGTATTGTCTGGGGATCCTGTCCACAGCCGTCTCTCGTAGCGGTTCCTCATTAACAATCTTGTAACGGACGGATTTCTGTGTGTGGGGTCCTCCTGTGCTTCCAAAGGCCAGCTTTATTTAAACGTACCGCCGTTGTCACCGCTTCCTGTCTGATGAACAGTGGGAGAGGGAGCAGATTCAGCATCGCTTCAAGAGCCGCAGTTGGAGTAGTCCTCATACAGCCAGTCGTCGCCATGCATGCTAGTCTTTGGAATTTGTCCAGCTTGTCGGCTGTGGTTGTCAGTTTGATTTGTGGCCACCATACTACCGCGCCGTAGCTGATTGTAGGTCTTATCACCGCTGTGTAGAGCCATAGAATTATTTTGGGTGAAAGAAACCATTGCTTACCTATCATTCTATGACACTGCCAGAAGGTGATTGTAGCTTTCTTGATTTTATTGTCCAAGTGCTTGTTCCAGTTTAGCTTGTTGTTTGAATGCACTTTTTCAGTTTAGTTTTGGCCGTCTTGTAGTTCTCCCAGTCCACATCTGCGCATGTGTTCATTGCTCTATTGAAGCGTCTCTTAACCTTTCTTCTCAGCCTCTCTAGTTCAGGCCCCCACCAGTGTTGGCCTTGCCGAGGGGCCGAGTTAGTCAGCGGACATGCGGAGTTATAACTGTTCAATATGTTTATTGTTAGTTCTCTGACCTGTGTTTCTATTTGTGTAGTGTCCAGCAGTCTCTCCGCTTTTACCGGTCCCCTTAGGTTCTGGTTCAGTTTTTGTATGTAAATTTTCCGATCGGTTTTTCGGGGATTCCGTTTCGGTTGGTGTTCTTTGGTGGCAGTTTGTAGGGTGAATCTTATCCATCTGTGATCCGAAAACGATGCTTCCTCAGACACATGCCAGTTTTTGACAAGACTCACCGCTTGCTCTGATACTAATGTTAGGACTGTTATAGTTCTACATCTTTTGTTTATAGATGTAGGAACCTTACCTTTATTTAGCATTTGAAGGTTAGTAGTAAATAAGTATTCTGTTAGGCTTTTACCTCTGTCATTTGCGAGTTCCATGCCCCACAGAGGATGGTGGGCATTGGAGTCCGTAGCCACGATAATGTGCTGACCGTTTTGCTCGCAGTAGTTAATTAGCCGTACCATTTCCTGCGGTGGTGGCACATCAGCCTCAGCCATATAGACAGAGGCGAGCACCACTTCAGGCAGGCCCTTTTCCTTCTCTGGTGATACCAGAGGAGGTAGAGGGCTCCTGGGAAACATGCATACGGTCCGAGTTGTGTATTGGTGACGCCTTATTTTCTAATGGTGCGTCAGTTTAAAGGCGCCTCCTTGTCCTGAATCTGAGGTAGACCGTGCCCAGCTGAAAGGTGAAGCGCCGGCCATGCCTCAGGATAGTTGGGACCAGATCTTCGGGGAGGCTCACCACCACGAAGGTATGACCACGTTGCTGATTCAGCTTGTGGACAAGCCAACGGTGAGCCTCCGCCCATTGGTTCTGCAACTTGAGGACGCGGCCGATTCGGCGTGCATCCTCCCATTGACCGGGGATTAGTAGTCCAAAAACCTCCACCTCCTCCACCCCATTTTTCAGTTGGGTCTTTCGAGATCTAATATTGGCACGCGTCAGACGCTAACTAACCACTTCTACTGTATTTATTGTTCTGTCAGTTTAACACTCTACACACCGTTCAGTAGGTACGTACTAATGTCGAATCTATTTGTAAACTCGCTAGGTTTTGAGCTGTGAAGTGTGTCTTCATGAGTAGAGTCTTATGCATTGGAGTCGAATCCTAAAATGTAGACTCGAGTTTTTTATAAGTATGAGTAGAGGCGTTTCACGATTGTGTTGACAACTTTTTTATGCTTAAATAGAAGGGTTATAAAATTTCAAATATACATAATTTGTTTCATATTATTCGTATTATTTTTACGACTTTCGTGTGGTAAAATCACTGTTGGCGTATGATCACATATGACTTTTTTTTTACAATATCAAGGGACGGGACTAACAAGTCTTGCGCCTGATGATAAACTAAGCCTGTCCATAACTAGCTAGCTATATAAACTTTAAATCGCAAAGATCTGATATTAACCTTCAAAACCGGAACACAGTAATGCTGACATTAATGCTTGGCGGCAAAAACAGGTAAGGTGGCAGTCCTGCCCTGAACGAACTCTGTCACAAGGAGCTTTACTTAGCAGGGTACGAACTACTAAGGATACGAATTCAATAAGGTTTAATGAGCCCTTGTATAAAGAATAAATAACTTAAAAATTGCAATTATTATAGCGACAAGTCTAGTCAGCTGCCGGTGATGAAGGTATCTGGCTGAGTGAACAAAAGCTTTCATAGATTTCTCACACATAGAAAAAATCGTAAGATCCGCTAGTTAGTTCCGTGGTTTGGTTATCGTAGCGCCTGTTACGGTTTGCTGGAAGACGTCGGTTCGAATCCAACGGGATCGCAAGAATTTTTCCTTGGTCTTCGATCTTTATATTACTAATACTTATAACAATATAATGGAGCACATATTGAATAAACCTAAAAATAATAATATATTCCTCCTATAAACAGAAGTTTTAGACCATGGTCCGTCACGCTGGTCCAATGTAAGCTGGGGAATTCGCATGTTTTCCAAGGGTTGTGAACCTTCTTCATTACCATTGATGAGATGTATTGCTTATAAACATTCACAAATCCTACCTCTCATTTGAGAAACATAAATATACTGAGTGCAGTTGTTTTAATTTGTACGTAAATCGGTAAGATAATATCCATCCCATAGCACGGTACCACGTTGATTTGACATCAGAGATCATTTTTCAGTTAATGAATCCAATTTCGCGCTGCGAGCACGTTCGCTTGAACGAAAACATTTGGTAACATTTGGTTTCGTTCAGAATGAAACACTCCAAATGAATCGGACGGTTTTAAACAACATATCGCACTCTTCGTGTACAACTCTATACAACTCTTCAGGACAGAAGTTTAAACATTTTACGAACGAAATTGCCAACAGTAAAGCTCCTTATGACACAGTTCCTCCAGGGAAGTACTGCCACCTCACCTATTTCTGTCGCTAAGCAATAATGCTAGCATTACTGCGTTCCGGTTTTGAAGGGTAAGTGTGCTGGTGAAAATACAGGCAAATGGGACTTGACAACTTACGTCTCAGGGTGACAGATCCCCTTAGATGTTTGCGATTTGAAACTTTGAGTGATACTGCAACTGTCATGGACAGGTAGCTTATCACCAGACACGTGATTTGTTAGTCCCGTCACTTGATATTTGCTAATCTTATGAAAATGTAATTTATGTTTAATATGAATAATACTACATTGATAGGAGGAACAAAAATAAACTTGCTACTAAGACAAATGCACGTTGCTTGAATATTTAAATCCTAGGTAAGAGATTTGAACCGTGGACGCCTCGTGAATGGACAGGCGTGTCGCTTTTCACTTTCCAGGTGCACGACTTGGTCGCCCGTCACTAGGCATACAAAAAAAAAGTGTCGATAATTTTTTTAAGCTTAAATAGGAGATCGCACGGTGTTCAAGGTTGAACATAATATAAACAACGAAGAAACTGCAAAATACCGACCTCGAATAAAATGCTACAAAAACTAGCCTCGTCAACAGATCATTATTTTGCAACAAGTGCAGCATAGTCACGTACTATGCCAATTAACAAAAATCAACCTAGTCATCAATAACACCCATAGCACACTACGAAAACTTATTATAATGTAGTATAAACAAATATTGTATAAATAGTCAGTAAATATTGTAAATAAAGTTAGTTGACCAATACCATCTGATTTTAACTCATCTCCTTGCTTAGTGACGTGCTACCTGCTACTCCTCTCACTGTGGCCAAGACACCTTTAGCCATCAGTAGATCGGTTTTGTGAGCCTGCTTGACCGGCAGTGAGAAAACCATTCCTGTACACATCACACGACGTGTACATCCTAAGTTCTTTCCCAACTTCTGTTTGTCACATTAGGTCTCCTGGTGACAGACTTCCTTACTTATACTATATATCTCTCCATTTATACATTTATGATTAGGTTAGGCTACACACCGTTAGGTTGTAGGGCTACACTTGATAGATCGTAAGACGACCCTTGAGGTCTCTCCGTTAGATTCTGATAGAGTAGTTATTATCTTACCATAAATTCATGTACAGCAGGCGGTTGGTATTTGCTGCATACAACTACACACTACATTGACAGTCAAACACTAACACCACATTAAATACCTAACCGCACGCTGTCCACACGGCTTGTGCAAACTGGTCGAAACGTCAGGAAACCAGTGTGACAACGCGTTTATTTCCGTTACTTAAATAGCAGAGTTACAAAATTACAGTACCACTTAGAGCTTTAAATCGCAAAGATCTTAGGGCACTGCCACTGCGCTCTTCACCCAGAGACATAAGTTGATAAATCCCATGTGCTTAATTTCACCAGCACCCTTACCTTTCAAAACTGGAACGCAGGAATGCTCACATTATAGCTTAGCGACAGAAATAGGTAAGATGACAGTACTTTCCCTGGACGAACTTTTTCACAATTACCTCTACTGTTACTATTATATATAACTTGTTTCCTGTAGTTCGTAGTATTTTCATGCCTTTTGCCTGATAAAAGATATTTGACGTATGAACACGTGTGGTTTTATTATGCTAAGGTTTACGATATTACGTATCAACTACACGTTGAAAAATTGCTTACTATAAAAACTCCGTATTACCTAAGTTATTCAGTAATCATTAGCACATTTGCAGACTTAAATGACGGTTTCAGTCAAGAGTGCTTGTGCTAAATCTATGTTTAAAACGTTCTTATTAAAATAAATTGAATTTACTCGACACTTGTTCGACTCCAAACAGAATCGTGAAACAAAGAGCTGACTTTTAATTAAACATCGTTTTTTTTTTTGTGCAAAAAATCTTTAATACACGTCCGTAAGTCACGTTCAGGAAGGACAAGAAAAAAATAGTCATTGATGTTAATACTTTATATTCTACAGGCTACTATTCCTACTACTATATTAGCTCCTCTGTCTCTGCGACCCAAAGTGGGCCTTGGGCTACGATACAAGTTAGCGCCAGCGCGCCCAGTCTTTTTTTATAAAAAAATAAGTGCACAATTGACATCCATCTCACCTGATGGAAAGTGCATGTTCGAAGAATAAAGCTGCCTTTCCACCAGAGATGTGCGAGGTCGCGAGGCGGTCCGAGGTTATGTAGCGGCGCTTTGAAACGGTGCGATGTCTTCCACCAAAGCTGTGCGAGGTAGCTAGGTGGAGAGAGGATGTGCATTGGCGCGGTGCGAGAATGCGTTACGGACTCTTTTCAGCTATGCGCGGGCGGGGTACGGTGTGATGGGGTAGCGGTGGCGACGTGTCAGTGTCAGGTAGTGATACTTTCAGTAGCTCTAGTTTCCTACACCGTTTTGCACACATTTCTCGACCGCGTCTCTCGTTTGTTTGAGTTCGCGAAACGGGCGCGTCCGGGCGGCCTCCTCGGACCGACGCGCTTAGAGCTAGACCGCGCGTCCTGTCGCACCACGCCTTTGTAGTTACCAACCACCAGCAGATCCGAATAGACCGCGGTCTCTTCCCAGTTCTCAGAGTATAGAGCGCAGATTATTTAGGCCGACCGACTGGTCATCTACATCTTCTCACCGCCCTGAGCTGGCATCCTTACGAGGTAACCGAGCCAACGGAGTTTTGCGGACTTAATTTCTCCTATAACATTGGGCTCAAACACAATGTCTCTCGGGCTTCAGTTTTTTCCGATGCTCCAGCTACAATCTTCCCTCTGTGTTGGTCCCGAAAGCAGGAATTAAAATTAAAATGAACAGATAAATAATATTAATGTGCCATACCAATATCTTGCTCTCAAATTAAAGAATTTCCCGTTCTACGAGTACCAGAAATACTGAATAACGAAATTCACTCCACAGCTCCGAGAAACAAAACATATTATTGCTTATAGTGTATATAGTATTCTCTAACTACAGCTACAAACAAACTTGAACAACACAATACATGCACGGGCTTTTATTCTTTGTGGAATTTGGCGTTGAATCACAAAGAAAACTCGCAGCAAACTGATATACTAACAGGATGTAAGAAAAATTTCCGATCATATTTCAACCGTCAATATTTTCCTTTGTTGTACTTACGATAGATCTTGAGAAAAAAAACTACATTTCCCAAAACATAAATACAGTTTCGTTTAAAAAATAAT